TGATGAAATTTGATACATGTCAACAAAATAATTAATAACTGTTTTTTTTTCATTCGTGTTTTATCAACGAACCAAAAATACCTTAAGTCCAATTTTTTGAGGATAACAATAAGGTAAAACCTTCTTCGGACATCATGAATCATTTTGCGAAAAAAAAAATAGCGTAAAAATCGGTGCAGTAGTTTTCGAGTCCATTAATCTCACATATTAGTACCATCATTAATTTATATAATTATTATAGATTATCAACAGAATGAAAAGGTCAATATTTTTTTTAAATCATAGTCAATCGATTTAGCATCAGATATTTCTGAAGAAATAATTTTGAATTGTTCTTCTAAAATCGAAAATTCGTTTTAGATTTTGTTTAAGGGGTATTGGCCTTTTTAAGTGATATACGGCCATACGGAAGGCAGTTCTTCCCCTTCCAAGTTTACACATATGCAGCAAATATTATACAATACTTTCCAAATAGGTTGTTACATGCGCACGCACAAGTCGTCTTATTCGTGTCAAGTACTTCAATACTTCATCTATGTAATGAACACGCATAATACACTACATGACATCGCGTTATCCGCTTTCTATTGGCGCGGCAGTATTTTGTAGTGCCTCGGTGACGCATCCAAGAGCTTAGGAATGTGGGTCAACCATTCTTATTTACATCCAGTTCTTAAATATTCGATTAAAACACTATTTTAATATGTATATATATATATATATATATATCGTTTTTAAGTATAGTAATTAAATATTAAAACGATGATCTGATTATATAATATTTATATAACTATAATAAATTGTTGCTTTATTTCGTTTGTCGATAACATTTTTAACAATACCTATATTTTATATTACAGAATTGAACTTAATAAATGTTTAAGTAAAACCAAATTTATTGACTCCTTATAATTTTTTTCTAACTATTAAAATAGTTTGGTTTAACTGCAGACACAATTGTCGGAGATACAATAATTACGTACGTGTCCTATAACAGCCGTGTCTGTGTACCTACGCTCTCGCCGTAAACTTATTATCTTTTAGCTGCAATCATCCTCTACCACACCTATTTTAAGATAAATAATTAGCGTATTTTCGACCACATATATCTCTTCTTCAGACCACACGGTTTACATAATTTCATTTTGCAGTTCGCAGGTAAAGGTTATTGGATTAAATACGTCGTTGAAAATAGAAACAATGTGTACGAGACAAGAGATAGCATTATAATATACCTACTCAGAACAGTACGGGTGTGTAAACTATATCACCGTGATTCAGTGACGTATATAGGTTTTCATTTCAGAGGGGGCTGATTAAGTATTTGATTTTTGGAGGGAATTTTTGAAGGGAAGGAGGAAACACCCTATTACGAAAAAAGTTTCTTTAACACTATAAGACTTCTTAACTGTCTTTACACCATCACAGAAGTAAGAAATTCAATTTTTTTAATAATTTATTATTTTTAAAAGTATAGAAACTACATTGTAATAATTAAATTTTTTATTAGTCACTCAAAATTCACTACATATTTTCTTAAAAGAATAAACATATTTCATAAATATAAAATTTTAAATTATCGCATAAGCAACATTTTCAGTGTTGCAACAAATTTTCGGAAATCCCCAGCATTAAGACATATCCATGTTAAAATAACAATCTTTAACAATAATGTTTTTCATTTCGGGGGGGGGGGGCTTGCCCCTCCATAAATACGCCCCTGCCGTTATTGCCGCATGTTCAAGGCCACTTACCGAGTTTTATTTTTCTTAAATTTTCTTTTTATGTGCGATTTCTGTTAAAAATTATTACAGCTCCGACATTGATTAAATATACATGTACATTTAATCAATGGCTCCAAACAAAATAAATACGCATATCGATCATGCGCGCGCGTGAACATGAATAGTGTGTACAAGTATACAGTGGTCACCGGTCAGCTGATAATGCGTGTGCACTGACTTACATTTGGATTAATAATTTTGTTTAAAACATTTTATTGTTGTGTTATTATTACGGAGTGGAAACAGTGGCGTCGATCCTGCCTTTTAGGGGCGGCGGCCACCACTCTTGTTCGAAGAGGCGGGGGTGCCCATTAGGTATGGGATTTTCTTTAATACGTTTATAATTTTTATCCGTGGCGCAAAATGATATGGTATTATGTCTTTCGCAGTGAGTTCAAAGGCGTATTGCATACCGTACTAAAATTTAGCATTGACGAAAAACTATGCCGGCACTCTTCTTGGAATGTAGTTCGGCACCACCGAGTGAAAATATTTTGGGGGGACAGCACTTTTTTATCGAACGGACACAAATCAATGGGGTTTCGATCAGGTATAGCAGTGTTTTCTTCAAGAAATGTTATTGATAAAAACCGCGTTCGCGGTACTGAAACCGAACGCGCAGATGTTGAACAGGGCACAGACGTGTTGGCGGTGGTATACTGTCGGTGGGATTCGCGTCCGATATGTGTTGTGGACATCGATCACAATTGTCTAGGTCAGTGGTTCTTAACCTTTTTCGAATGACGGAACACTTAACACTTTATAACATTTTCGCGGAACACAACCGTAAAATAAAATAGTAATACTTGAATGCCATACATGTTAGCGTTAGTCACTAAAAAATAATAAAATAATAAAATAATAATAAAAGTTAAAAAAAATTTAAAAATTTGAAATGAATACTTTGTATGAGATATTTTTGCCTGATGATTTTTACAGATATTTTCAATATCTGGCCATATGTGGGATATTGCTACTCTCATTTCCTCTTCAATATTTATCAGGCTTTCTCGTTTCTTTGTTTTGATATCCGTCAATGTTGAAAATCCAAGCTCACACAAGTATGAGGTTGAAAATTATAATAAAATTGAAATTGCTTTATCAGAATTTTTTTTAAATTCGGTTTGAACTGAAATCCAAAATCCTTCTATTGTTATTTCAGAAAATGTTATTTTTAGAGTTTGGTCTGTTGTTAGCGTTATGAATTCTTCCTCTTCTTCTAACGTAAATTCATAACTTGACGTGTTGATGTTCAACAATCTTTCAAAATAATTTTTTTCTCTAGACTGGAGAATGGCGTGTTTAGATGAAAAATGCCGTTTTAATTTCGCTGATGCTATTGCGCTATTAGACAACTTTTCCCCACAAACCACACATAGGGGAATTTGACAATAATTTTCGTAAACATAAGAGAACCCAAAATTGAAATAATCATTGCAATATTGTCTATTGATCTTTTTTATTTTATTCTCATTATTGAAAGTATCATAAATGATATTGCTTGTATTTGTACTTGCATTATCAGTATCAGAATCATGTTTTCGTTTAAGAAATTTGTCCATTTTGTTATTAAAATGGTCGTTACAAATTAACTTCTAATTAGAATAATTGGATAGATTATTTTATTAATTAAATAAATTTCAAATTGAACTTACTAATAACAGAATCCTCATTTACGAAGTTGTACACGCGTCTAACGTTGATAACCGCGGGCAACGCACTAAATATAATACTAATGTATTTTATAACTTTTATTAGTGCGGAAAAATAAAATTGTCGATATCTATGACGTATGTTATCGCAGTATGGTGGCGATTATCCAATAATATAATAATAATAATGTACATTATATAGTATACTGACAAATATAATTCGTTAGTTAATGTTAACGTTTTTGTGTACAAAAATAAACCAACAAAACCTAAAATGATTCTATACGCTATACAGAATAAAGTTATTGTTATACATGTCTTATACTTTAGTGTTTCGGAGGTCCATAAAAGTCAAAATGTTAAGATAATGGAACGAAACATTTTTTTTTTCACTGATTTCGAAATTTTGGCGGAACACTTATACCAAGTCCACGAAACGCCGGTTAAGAACCACTGCTCTAGGTTATAGTGAATTGTTTCGCGATTTCTATAACGTTTTCTTGGTCACGACGTACGGCGGTAGGATGACGAGGAGGAATGGGAGCGGTCTACGGTTATCGCCACGGCATTGGACATCGGCAGTATTGCGCCGGGCACTGATGTGCGACGGCGATGTGTCACACCACTGCAGTGATTTATTTAAAACGGTCACGACGTGTGCGTGCACCTATAAACCTTCAAATTAGTTGGATTTTTTGTAAAAAAAAAATTATCCGTAACCGTACGTATACCGGTAATCATTATCATACTGCCTGCCAAAGCTTATTTTAACGTGCGTTTGAACACATTACGCGCAACTAATAAATGAAAAATGCGCGGTTGTAAATACTTTCTATAATTGAAATTTCTCACAATAATAAATTCTAGTTGTCGACTTCACGGCCGAGTGCAGGTAGAGGGTCCGTCAATCATCAGATTAGGTTTATTACGTGTTATTATTATTATTATTATTATTTTATTATCACAATATTGTTGCACGACCGCAGCCGGGTTTATAATCATACACGGGGAGTAATATTTTTGTGGGTATGGTGAGGGAATTGAGTTTTAAGTTTTGCGCACTTCTAAAAAAAACCTTAAAATAATCCCTGCTACCTACGACCACGGACGTACGGTGTAACGTACGGCTTGCGCATTAAAATAGTTATAAGCCGTACGATCGTGTGTTGGTCCGCGATCCGCTTCAACGATCATTGATTATAAATATTATTTATAATCAATGGTATTTCTACACTCGACGTTTGGAACACGCGAATGTAGATAACGGAATGTAGTCTCTGGCACGGTTCCGTTCCGTGATAACGCCTGTTAATAGTTCTGTATTCGTGTTATTATTATTCTCCGACTCTTGTCTCTATAATATTTTTTTACGTTATTTCTACTCGTTTTTTGTGTTTCCTGATAAAAAACGTAAAATCGGACTATTTGTTCCCGACGATTTTTCAATTGCTTATTTATTATTAATATTTTTCTCGCCTACAAAAACTGTCCTGGTTGAAAATCCAAATAAACCGTTCAAAATTGATTAAACTACGCATTGACATTTAAATAATCGTTCTTGCAGGAAACCTGGGTTCACCAAAGGATTAACAATTCAAGCTCAAGCAAATTCGAGATCTCCACCACTATCCATAACTTCAAGCCCTGGATCCATTCAGTCGTCCAGCAGGTATTTATTTTAATTTAGAACAGTTGCCAATACTCATTAACACGACTTAACGGCTGATAAATTTATTTAGTTCAAGCAGTGGTGTCCATTCAGCTCCACCTAACATGGAATCTGCGGATGTCCGCAAGTTTGATCCACCATTTCGGTCCATGTCAGCCCCTGCTCCTAGTATTTCACAACCCTCATCTTCATCAACTGTGACTAGTGATAATTCCGAAGAAACGGCCAGTACATGTACAGTGCCTGCCAACAGCAGTGGTTCAGATCAACCAAATAGTCCACCATCAGAAACTGTATACCAACCAAAGCACTTACACCATCAAGCATCTTTACCAATTTTATCGACAAATATATTGAACAAACCACAAACGTTTCACAGATCTACGTCCAAGAAAGAAGCAATCAAAAAGTATATTCAATTATTTATTTTATAATGTCTGTTTAATTGAATGTATTATTATTATTATTATTTTAGTTTTATTAAAAGAGAGACTTCTATGTTTTTTGGACTTGACGAGGAATTTGAAGAAATTGAAAAACTTAAATGGTTGGATAGAAGAAAACGTTTAGCAGCTAGAAAATATGGAGAGTTAAAAAACGAATACATTAATTCAGTTAATGAAATTCCTGTAACTCAAAATTCACAGGTATTAGAACTTTCATCATAATATACTTCATATAGACTTATTTTCATAATATTTTTTAGCCGGATGTATTACAGTCTAGTCGGGATATTGATGAAGGAGATAATGTAACTCGTATTCAACCTTTAGGAAGAAAACCATCTGTTGCTAAATTAACACTAAGTGGATTATCTTTTGTTGTTTCGGTATATGTTAAAATTACAGTTGAAAAAATTCATATTATAATATATTTATATTAATTTATGTTTTTAGAAAACTCTAAGTCGCAAGAAAAAAACTGTATCAACATCAAGTGAATGGTCTAGAAGTTATCCTCCATCTGCTACTTCTGACGATTTAACTGTTATATCTCATATGACTGATGATGTAAATTTATATTTGTTTGCTTTAAACATTTTTTTAAATTATACTATAAGTAAGATTGTATTTAAAAATTTTTTTTCTTAGGTATTTTTTGATAGACTCTCCTCGGATAACGGCGACCAAGGGATAGTACAAGAAGTCGTGGATTCTAGTGGAAATTATGAAAACTCAATTAGACATCATTATAAAAAATCACATCAAAGTTTGAGGAGGTATTCTAGTTGGCAGAGAAATCCATCAAGAAGAGTTGAAGACGATCATATGCCCAACATTGGTATGGGTAGAATTTGGGGCAGAGTATTAGACAGAGCATTCGATAACTCTGATAGAAGACAATATGGAATGGGTTTTATTGGAAGATTATGCAGGTATTTAAATCTTATTACTTGTACAATTGAAATATTGACCAATTATTATATATTAATTTTAAATTAAATAATGTAGGCGTTCTGTAAACAAAACAATAGCAAACAGAAGAGATGTAAAACAACAACTTGATGATTTAGAAGATCATCGGCCATTTTTTACTTATTGGGTGACCGTTGTTCAAATTTTGGTACTATTTTTATCAATATTTTCTTATGGTCTGGGACCTTTTGGAATTGATCTAAGTCACCAATCTGGTGCTGTAAGTATATTATTTAATATTTGTATTATATGTATATTACAATTTTAGTAATAATGATCAATAAATCTTTAACATATTATATGTGTACATTTAATTAGGTTATGGTCACAAGTCTATCAGTACAAATAATTGAGTACATAGAACCATCAAATTTTTGGATAGGACCTCGAGCTGTAAGTTCATTCATTATTTTGTGTTATTTACAATTCTTAAGGTTTTTTATTTATATTTTCTTTTTATTAAGGCTGATTTAATACATTTGGGAGCAAAATTTGCACCTTGCATGCGAAAAGATAAAAACATAATGAAAGAAATTGAAAAATGGAGAGAGAAAGAAAGAGAAACAGCTTGTTGTATAAGAAATGATGACTCTGGATGTATTCAAGCATCAAAAGAACAGTGCACAGTAAGATATAATTATTTAATACTTTCAAAATATAAAAAAAAAATTATTTAATATTAATCTATATCATGATATAATTGAGATTATATTTTGAATATTGCTATTTTAATAGAAAATAAAATATCCTTTATATAAGATTACTATTAGTGTTATACATATGTGTTTATATGTATATAATATACAAATTAGGTTTCTAATAATTTTTTATTTTTAGCATTGACATTAATACTTGATAATTATTATAAAACAATTAAATCTTGCATTATTTAATATTTCTTTAGTACTTAACATTGTTTACTGTTATTGTTTTTTTTTTGAAATTGAATTGTTGTTTTCTTTGTTGGAATAAGTATTATTAGTAATAATAAAAATAAATTCAAAATGGTCTGAAATAGATTGTTGTTAGAGTAATTATAAACAAACAATTTTAATTTTAGAATTTATATTAATGATTTAAATCTACTTTATTTTGTTTCTGATATATTATATATATTAAAAATTACTCAGTCATAATTATAATATACATATATATATTTGGCTTTTGCTAAACAAAAATATCAAATAACTTATCAACTTACATTAAAAAAAAATTGCAAGTATAATACTTTTATTCTTATCGAGTGTTTGTCTGTTTGTACTGTTCCTAATACCATCTCACAAACGTCTCACGGATTGGGGTGGTGGAGGAGGAGATAATGATAAACCACCTTCGGTAAGAGTTTAACACTATGTAAAAATGTATGATGTCTTAGAATTTGAATTTCACGACTTTTATTTGTTATTCTTCCACTATTATTGATGTATTATATATATTTTTGAGTATAAAATATTTTCTATTTTATTATTTTTGCTTTATTGTTATTGTATGTTTATATTTTATGCATTATAGTATTTTATAATCGTGCAATATTATTGTTTTAATTGATTTAAGTATTATGCTTAGAGTTATTTTATTTTCTCAATACTTTATAAATTTAAAAATGTCATGTAATTGAGTTTAACTTATTTAACTGAACATTTTAGACTTCAATTTCTAAATGGAAAAAATGGTCAGAAATTGAATCAGGACCTGGTGGAAGAATATCTGGCTCTGTTTGTGGCCTGGACCCAAAGTATGTAATTTTTATAATTTTTCAATTATTATTTAATAGTTCATTGCAAATTGTAAAAAAAAAATTCAGATATTGTGAAGCTCCTGCTTCTGTTGCACCATATGAATGGCCTGATGATATAACAAAATGGCCAATTTGCCGTAAAATGAGTGGCAGAGGTAGTGCACGACATAGCAGTTGGGGTAGTACAGTGATTAATCAGAAACTTACATCTGCTGAACATATGATATGTGAAGTGATAGGACATCCATGCTGTATTGGAATACATGGCACTTGTCGTATAACTACCCGAGAGTATTGTGATTTTGTTCATGGATATTTTCATGATGATGCTTCATTATGCTCTCAGGTATACAATCAGTGTATAAAAATTTAATTGATATGTTGTTGTGTCACAATTTTAAATCAACCTAATTTTTTGTTCGGTTTTTAGGTTTCTTGCCTTAATGATGTATGTGGTCTCATACCTTTCTTTTCTCCTGAAATTCCTGATCAGTTTTACAGATTATGGATATCACTTTTTATACATGCTGGGTAACTATTTAATTGCTTATAGAACAAATTTACCTAAATACTTGATATCAATTTTCTAATAAAAAATTTAATAAATCATTACAATCAAATTAGTTATTAAAATTACCAATGTTGTTACTAATTTGTTTTATAATATTTAAAACATGCAATTTCTTATTTATTAATTATATGCATATTATTTCAATAAATAAAATTTAATATTTTATATATTACATATAAAATATAACTTATTTTGATTCACCAAATTTATATAAAATATCTAAGTAAAGCACCTTAATGGGATTATTAATTTATATTTTAATGTGTTTTAGTATTCTTCATTTGGCAACAACCATCGTCATACAGTATTTTTTGATGAGGGATTTAGAAAAACTAACAGGCTCTTTAAGAATAGCATTAATCTATTTGGGTTCTGGAGTGGCAGGTAATCTTGGCAGTGCAATATTTGTACCTTATAGAGCTGATGTAAGTAAAATCATGTTTAATTATAATAGTTGAATATTAAATTTATTTGATTTATTTCAGGTGGGTCCAGCAGGTTCTCAATTTGGCCTTTTAGCATGTCTTATTGTTGAAGTGTTGAATTGTTGGCCTATGTTAAAGAGGCCCGAGCAGGCGCTTTCAAAGCTACTAGCTATCACATTCCTGCTGTTTCTGCTCGGGCTACTGCCTTGGGTGGACAACTTTGCACATCTATTTGGTTTCATTTTCGGATTCTTGTTATCATATGCACTGTTGCCATTTGTTTCATTCGGCCCATATGACCGCCAAAAGAAAATATTCCTGATCTGGGTGTGCTTGTTATCTGCATTGTTCCTGTTTTTGTTGCTGTTACTGCTATTCTATTTAATACCAATGTATGATTGTGAAATGTGTAGCTATTTCAATTGTATACCCATTACTAAAGACTTTTGCGCTAATCAGAATATTAATTTTAAAAAAGATGATTATACAGTATGACAAATGTGGTGGCGACGGTGCAAGACCGCGCATAAGTTAGCGATGAAATTTGTGAATCGTTTTGTGACTTTAGCCACCTCCTGTAAAATGCTTGAGGTACTTCTTGATAATTACACTCTCTTGATGATAGTCAAGTTGAGAACAAATGAACAAAATATGGTTATTATAGTTATTAAGAAACTTACTTACTCAGTTTTATGTTATTGTGCTAAGAAACCATTAAAAATCAAATTGTATTGTTTCTTGTAATATTATCTATGTTATTAATAATGTGTATTACATAATAGTATTGACTGAATTACTTTGTTAGTGTTGTATCATTGAAATGTGAGGTATAGTCATAAAGTTAATGAAAAACTTATGGTTTTCGATTTTTTGTTTTAATGTTAAGAAAATTAACTACAAATATATTATTTATTTTATTTTATTATAAATTTAATGAGATTGATTGAAAATCGTAATTTACATTCTTTGTGCCTAAACCTCTAATTTGTTCCTTTTTTACATTAAGTATGGGTGTTTTAATTACATATACATATTATTTTGACGATAAGTAAGAGACTATTCATAATTCATATTATTTTAAGTCGTTAAATAAAGTATTACATACAAAAGCAAATTAACTAAATGTATATTTTAATTTATAGAGTACATTATTTTCTTATGTATCAATGTGTTCTATTTTCTGAATCATTTCACTATAAAATATTTAAACTTAGTAGTTTATAATAACAAATAATTTACTTAAGATTTTAATGTAGTTAAAAGTATAAAATAATTTCAATGTTTAATTTGTTTTTGTATGGTACATTTTATTACTTTGTGCACGCATAATATGTAATACAATTATTAAAGATTGTGAATAATTGAAGCATTACAAATCACATGAAAATTTTAAATTTAATTGTAGATCAAAATATTTTGATTTGATTTTATATTAATGAAATTGTACTGATTTATAAAAAGTAAGATAAAAATAAAAAATAACAGTATTAATAAACGATAAATTGGTCAATTTCAGTTTTCAAAATATGTTTTTCTTTTTAATTTAATGAATAAAAATATTATGATGTAAAGAAAACTTATAAGCTGAGTTCAGGATTTATAGCACTAAAACAATAATAAAATAAGTATTAAAAAACGGTAAAATATGCATTTAATTTATTTATTATTAAAAATTATTAACTAGTATTACCTACAGTAAAACATAAATAATTATTAATTTGTTTAAAAATTAGTCCATTAAATAACTTTACTAACATCGACCGTCAGTTATCGAACTAGTTTGTTCATTAGGAATCTTTTAGTTATACATGAACTTTTATAATTAAATTAGGCAATACGGTTAATACAGACCATATTATTTTTCAAGAATAAAGTTATTTTTCCAATATGAAAATTATAACGATTAGTTAGTTTTATATTGCAAATGTGTAGGTACATGCAATTCAATTAATATTTTATTTTTTTCATCAGTTAAAGTTCTTGTTTTTTATTTTTAAGTTTAAATCATTTGTCAAAATATGCTAAACAAACACAAAAAAGATACAAGCAAGAACTTTCCTGCAAAATCTATGAAATGCATAAAAATAGGCACATTCAAATTTTCGATTTAAAATCATGGCACAGCCAAATTAATTTTTTTTTTACATAACTATATTTTACAATAAATAACAAAATTACGCCAATGCTAGAAGTCCTGAACTGTGTTTATGAATAATAAACCTAATGTAATACTTCAATACGATGCAATATAACGATCATTAATACTATTGTATACATATATTTACAATAAAAGCTGTCTTACAATATTTTAATATTGTGTAAATAAATTACACTATTGCGGTATACGAACTCTTAATGTGTTATTTGGTATTGTTACATATGAACAAGTATATTAGAAGTCTAGAATTTGGACTTATCATTTCATATAATAACTAACATTAATAGTGAAAACCATTATTTATTTTGAATTTCCAGGGTAAACTCTAAGTAAAACGATTGCATTCGATGATTGATTTTCTTTTTTTTTTTGATATTTCTCATTTTCCAATGATACTAAACACTATTATAGTCTTATCGGTGTAGGAGGTATCGTCGACCGTTTCTCTGTGGTACGGGCTTAATATGCTTTTTTAATTATACACATTATATTAAGACTGTTTAATGATACAATTGTACATAACATTGTACAGGTTTTAGGTTAATTGCTTGAATTTTTTTTTCTCTCTTTTAAAAAACCAAATCGAACAAGTGTTTCAACTGAATTTTGTACAAGGGAAAAATATATAATAATTATTTGAAAACATAAATATTATATATACTTTCTCAAGAATTATATCGGTAAATTTGACACGTTAATATATGTTTATTGAATTAACGAATGATAATAGGTACCTATGTAATTTCACGGATTCTTTATTATTATTATTAAATCTAAATAAATTTGAATAGGTACTTTCATTTTTAAGTGATAACATATATTAGTCATATTACTAAAACATTATAATCAATTTTCAGTAAACATTTTACACAATATTATTACCAACCGATCTGTGGAAGTTAACGAATATATTAATGTTTACATAATAACATCAACGATCATATGTTTTAATTCTGAATTCGTAAAGATAATATAGACTATACCACATTATAGTATAGTTTATGATGTCGGAAATAATATCTGTAGAAATTGATTACAACCACAGCGCGATAGAAATCTGTGTACAGTTATAAATACATCGAATTGTGTACAACGGGGAGATAAAATATTTAAAACGGATTTCCCGACGTCCGTCTTAAACGATTTTCATATATTATACCGTAACAATACGCATTATATATTTGTACGATTTTTCGTTGAAAAGAAGCTTACATACGCTCGACCTTACTATCGTGACGATACAGACAACGGAATTTTTATTTCGTTTTCTTTTTACTCATCAACAATATCGGCTTAATGCTCCACACCACCCTTTCGAAATTATTTTATTTATAGTATAGTTATATAATGTAAAACTAATAATATTAATAATAATAATAATAATAATAATAATTATTATTATTATTATTATTACATATAACTAAGATTATTTTCAATAAAAAAATTATATGATATTTATGTATACTCATGTTATGCGATAACGTACACGTATATACCTACTATAGGGATTAAAATATATTTTTTCAACATGTATACTGATGTTAATTATAATATTCAGTGTACGTGTCTTTATATTATACTATTATTTAAACGTGATTAAGCGAAACTCTGAATTGGCTCGAACGTTTGATAATTATAATATACCTAGATATTTAAATATTGTGTATTGCAGACCGAATATTTGAAGTGAAAAACCGTGCGTATTGTAAAATTATTTTATATTATATACATATATAAATATATATATATGATAGTACGTACCTATATTAAACTATGTGTGTGTGCATATACACACACACACATGTTAATATATTGAAATAATAATGAAATTATGTAAATATTTTTATATTGTAAATCTTCCATATTATATATTGTATCTTAATGACCAAAATGAAATGGTAAATGTATATTATCCGATATTAAATAATTATAGTATTTTGAAAATCAATGGGCTCCGTATGTGTTGACTTTGTAGCATAGAAACTTCCAGTACACTCCCAACGAGGCCAATGACACCCCTGTTAAGTGAGAGTCGCAATTCCTGGAAAACAATAATAAAACCTATTAATGAGCAATCCTGAAGTACGAGTATTTCGTTTTAAGTGATATTCATTTTTATTAGTTCTGTAATGTCTCTGTATGGTTTATCATTTTTAAAAATGAACAGTTAAATTTCATAGTACGAAACTGTATCTACTGATTACAGTATAACGTAATATATTATAGTAAAATTATGCATATAATTGTTTTTCACAACATAAATACTATCGTGTATGTTATATCATCTTGCACATGACGTATGCGTTACTTGTACCAATACAAATAGAGTTTGATTTTTTAGTTTTTTAGGGGGGAAAGGCTAAAGTCGTATATTGTGAACAACTAGGTTGTGTCTAGGTCTTAAAATTATAAATGAACTTGAAAATGACAACGAACACAATCGAAGCTCAAGTCATCCTAGAATTTTTGAATTTGTTTCTCCAATAAGTTGATTTCTTTCAATTATTAAAACTATTTTAACTTAAAACATATGAGGAAAATTGTGTTTTTTCTATAGAAATCTTGTAGTTTTCTAACAGTTTATTACCTATGATCAGTGCTCGACTTGAGGGGGGACGTAAGGGGACAGAGTACCCCAACTAATTTTCAGAAATTTTAGCGTTCCCCTAATATTATTATGTTATAATTATAACGCTTAACAAGTTTTGGGGACGCTTTTTTTTTAAAAGTAAATAGAGTCCCTCTTCTTTAATTTTTCCAAGTCGAGCATTGCCTATGATTGATTAAATCGATTCCATCGTTTTGCTTACTATTGTTCGAACATTGTTTAAAGTTTAAAACTTAAATTTTTATCCTAGTTTAAAGTCTACAATACCTAGTATTAATGCAAGAGTTAAGCAACATCCTTGAGTTCAGAATAGTTCAACTTAAAACCAGTTGTTTGGAAAAAAATCAAAACGTCACGCTGGATTTCACACTTGTCATCGAATATTCATTATTCGAGAGGGAGGAGCAGGGACGACTAGAACCACCCACCGAGCCTCGAATCGTGGTCTTAGCTTTTTACACAATATTTTTTTACTATCTGATTTGCCGTAGCATAAAATGTGAGTTTGAATATTTTCATTCTACTTAAATATGACATACTAAAGTATAATATAAGTAGTATGTATATCTTGGCCAAACAAGTACAAGTAAAGGGGGCCTGGAACTGATCAGCATTTACTATGGCTATACATTTACTAAGAAAATCAGATCCAATTGTTAGAGAAAGCAGTGCATTTTAAACGTTTACACTTTTCACTCGCCGTTTCGGACATTTTAGTTCAACCCCAGCTATAAAACATATTCATGTGAAAAAGTTACTGGAATTCTCATCGCTTTTTTAAAACTAAATGTATGATAAATTTACTCTAAATATAACTTAATAAAGTTGGCAATATAAAATTTTAGTATACAACAATAATAATTACAAATCGTTATTTTTGTGTTGGTAGCAGTCAAGGTGGGTTACTGATGCCACAATTGATAACCATTCTGGCTTGATGAATTCCACCATGTTTTGCATTCCACATATTGCAACTGAGAACAAACATTTATGCACTTTATATTTTAAATTTTAATATCCATTTTTTTTTTTTTTTTGTTGATTATAATTTAAATAGTTTACTAATTATACTTAATACTAATTTTACTATTAATAGTAGTTACAATTCATTCAGTATTTGGTTTTTTAAATATCAAATTAAGGAAACTGAATTATTCTAACAAATTAAATTTTTGACAGTAATAAGTTTAATATTTAATCGAGTGTATGGGGAAAAGAGAAATAATTGTTCAATAAAACAAAATATGAAGATGAAAATGGTATATAAAGTGGAATTTAAGTGTATATCGAATATATTTAAGATATTTAAATAAAATGTGGGTTATTAAATTCTATATTGCCTCATGTTTCTATTTATCGCGTAGTTCAGATCAATATTTAGCTAGTCCAGCTGAATTCAATTTTTAGAATATTTGTAACGATTCTATGTTTTTTATAAATAAAATATTAACCTAGTTTTGATGGGTAATACAATTTTTTTATAAAAAATGAAATTTATTAAAATTAAAAAATAATAACGATTTCTATTTGTTTTGGCTAACTCTATTTTTGTGTTGTATTGTATTTTAACTTGGTGTTACATACAGATTTCATGCAAAGGGCTCAGGACTAACTATGAAAATTATATAACTATTAAGTGAAAACAGAAATTTTTGTGTACCGTAAGTTTCAAAGTAATTACTTGTTTTTATATAGTCACGTGTGTTTAAAGTATAACCAATGCAAGCAATATCGAATTGATAAGTACAATTAAAAATTCCTATTCTTCTATTTTTTTTTAAAAAAAATAGACCTACAGTGAAATAAGTAAAGAATTTCAGTTTTCATTTTTTCTCATGTGCAGAAAAATCTATTGGTACAGTCGATCGATGAACTTTTAAAAGTTCCCTCCGCATTCCCGATATAATTTTATATTTAATAAGATATACTACATTTAGTGCAGATTTGTTATTGTACTACTAATATATTCCTTACTTTACTCAGAATTTCAATTTTTTTGATGCATTTTTACTAATAACTTATATACCTATAAGAGCTGCGCGTACTGTATTTCAAGTAAATAGTACCATATGTTCTACATTATACAATTACATTATTGCCATATACAGTTATACGATAACCCATGGTAATAGAAGTAAAAATATTTGTGAATGAAAAACAATCGAACGTTCAACGAGTTCTGTGCTCAAAAAATATTTAAACCTACGTCGAGATGAACACAAGTCTACAATATAATATTGCAGCCTCTTACTTTGTTCGATAAACAAATCTTTATATTTTTCCAGTGCGATGGCATCGTTCACTATTGACATTGCTTCGTTGTAAATCAAGCCACATTTATTACGTATAATTTCGTCCACCTTTATTTCGATAACAGGATCGACACACTTCATCTGTAAAAAATGAACCGTGATACATTACGGTATTTATACGCGAGACCGTGTACAATCAGATCACGTGTGTGTTTGTTCCGGTGGCGCCGAACAAAATTGAAACTGCCAGTTCAAATAATTATATTGACCAATCCACCACTTCCAATTTACCACCCTTTTAAATACCAAAAAAAAAAAAAAATTTCCAAGGATCTATAAATAAATAAACAAATAGTTTATATAGAGAAATAATTAAGTAAATAAGTAAACAAATGCTTAGCCTGGAATATTATTATATTTGTAAAGTAGGACCGGTTTATTTATTTAAATTTATAAAAATTTTGTTTAATTATTTATTATTTTTATTTTTCCAAATTTTCTGGGCAGTTAATTTGAACTGCCCGAAGTTCACGCGTTCGACGCCACTGGTTTGATCCGAGAAAAAATAATTGCACTTTTATAATAATACACAGGGGCCTAAGATTGCGTATAGGTAAAAAGTGTAGCACGCATTACCGCTAAATTTGAACGCGAGCAATAAGGGCCCGGATCCGCGGGAGTCACAAAAGCCAAAGCACGGATTAAACAAAACGTTTCATTTAATCTGTGGTCAAAGCGTCTCGCGCGAACGAATACCTCACAAGTTCGCGTCGAAATGATTACTTCGACGCTGTGATATGGATTTTCCGAGCGCAACGGTCCGCGTCTCGCTGAACGGATCGCGTGTGCGGGTCGCAACGTTGTTCGGTGGAGACCTTAGGCCCCGCGGTATTACCGTCGCGGTGCCGTCACGGGTGCAACTGGCAAGATGGGCGCACACGAGGGTCTTAAGCGTAGACGCAGAGTAAAAAATTTTAGGGGCTTCGGCTCCTACCATATATAATTCAATGACTGCCTCTCAGAAACTTATCCCCTACAGCCCCCCCCTCCCATACTAATTGCTCTAATGGTCTTGAGCACCGCTGAATTCAAATTTATCAGCCCTGGTCTTTTTCTTATTCTTCACGTCAACCGATAACCGTGACGGTGGTGATCGTTATTGTTTCCAACGGTTTCAGCGGGCCCCCAAAACGCAATTTGGATACCAGTTGCGCTCGTGCGTACCGGCGCGCGCGTGTCGCTGCGTTCGCGTTTACTTTTTTCAGAACATGAGCGTACAGCACTTGATGCGTGAGCGCGTACCCGGACACGCCGTCGGCCGCGAGCTCCGGCACCAGGCACTCGGGAGTCGTCCGGCACGCGGTGACCGCTTGGAAAATGCATCCGTCCGATATGTTGCGGTAGAACAGATCGTCGTCGGCCACGCGGTCTGCGTCGAACAGCCCTCGGGCCGTCGGTGACGTGCCCGGCGACGTACGGACGATTTCGGAGGAGGACGTCCAGAGGTTGTGATCGAACATCTTTCGGCTGACCGTTACTGTACACGATAGACAATATTACGTAAACTGGGGAGGGGTGCAAGGAGGGCAGTGCCGCCTCTGATATTTAACATACCTTGTTTTTGAAATAAGTGCAAAACGGCTGGTTATAGCTATTACTATACATTTTTTTTTTTTTAAATCTTAATTTTTAATTTTCGCTTATCTAATACAGTGTTAGAAAACGAATAATTTTACATAATAATATGTAGGTAGTAAAGCGGCGATTAGCCGCGGACAGGGTTGGACTAGGCCACCGGGGCACCGAGGTATGCCCCGGTGGGCCGCTACGATTTTGGTTAAAGAAGATTTCTTAGATTTTTTGTTTTTAATTTAATGCGTCCATCTTCTATTATTATAATAAAATAAAAAATATCGCCCTGTAAAGCGAAGTCACTAATCGATGCGTTTTAGTGTACAAATTGAACATATTTAATGTTGCGATAGGCCGGTGGATAATAACAATGATCTCATCCCAATATTTATAAATAGAATTATTATTCGATTTATTCTCACGTCTCATGGTATGATACCGTTTTATTTAATTTCTGAATTTTTAACATACCGTATTGTAGTAAAATACAGAACTTTTATCATTTCGTACAAAAATTTATCTAACTAATCTAGTACCGTAAAAATCGAAACAGTTTTTTAAAATCTCGTATTATTTAATGTATTTTAGTAATTGTATAATTAAATTACCGAACATTTAAACCTCGTTCAATCATTTATCTAACTAAACATACACCATAAATATTAACACAATTTATCAAAACATCATATTTCTAACTAACCTTATACTGTAAAACGTGATACCATTTTAAGGTATTTTAGTATGGATATTTAATTATCACACCATTTGAAAAAAAATGTATCATCAACTGGGTACCACCGGTATTGTACTTCAGAAGTTTTACCGTCTTTTTAAATACCGACCTTTTACAAATTCGTCAAATAAATTGTCGATTTATCCTCACATCTTATGATTATGATACAGTTTTATTTAATTTTTGAATTTTTTTATTTTAAAATACCGGTGTTTTTAATTTTGATTCCAAGCACTGTTGCAAAGTAATAATAATATGTATCTTACTTGTTTTCGAATCCACCGAGTAGTTTTTGTTCTCGTAAAACATCCAGTAGAGTTCATTAATAATTTTCATCAGAACGTGCATTCGATTGAAATCATGTTCATAAGGATCGGTACACGACATGAGTTGACCTGTATATTCATTTTTTTTATACAAATTTAAAACTGCTACACACGTATGGACTTATAATATATATATATATATATATTTTGTATGAACTCTGAACGTATAGGTGTATCACCACGTCGTGTACAAAACTACTACTAACTTTTCACAGCTACATTGATCTTGAAATTTTTATTTTTTTAAAAATATGTAAAAAAAACATTTCAAAAAGCCTGTTTTCGATCAAGTAATTAAACTACGCTTTTAAAATCGAATATAATACATAATATGGTTATTATATATGGTGTGTGAACTTGTTTTTTCGAAGATTTTAATTATACTTTGAGTTCGAATTTACAAAAATTGTTTTACTTGTATACGAAAAAAAAGATTAATAAAAAAAAATATATATCTATTCGATATGCTTTCTTATTAGTTATATAGTTATTAAGTATTGTAAATTATTTAATTTATGCGGATCAATTTTAATAATTATATTTACGCGTAGCTTCGAATACCGAACCATTTAATAACTGAATCGAATTTTATCTCTGAATTTCCACTCGTATACGTTTCTGCTGTTATATTGACATTGGTTGCTTTGCACATTTTAATTAAAATACAAGCGATGAAAACGATGTACATAGCGTAGTGACGTCTATTTGAATTAAATATTAATTGGTTTAAGGTTTGAACGAGTGAAAATCAAAATATTATATATGTACTTTATAGTTGAAAGTATATTTTTTTCACTCAACAATAATATATATATATATATATATATAGTCAAAACCGGCAAACTTTATGGGTAAAGTCGAATTACACATGTTCTATTAGAATCGTAGTGATACTCGTATTAAAGAAATGGTTATAATATAATTGTATTACATTCAAGAAACACGTTTGAAGAAATAATCTTATTTTTAATGAATGATCATAATTTATTAAAAATAAAAGTAGGTACATAGAAATAAGGAAAATAATTTAATACAATTGCCTTCATTTTTATACCTTTTTGTAATAATCATATCATTTTGTCGAACATTTTATAAGTATAACTTTTTTACTTAAGTGCGGTTCGACCTTCATCTGCATTTGATCTGAATGCTGTTCGAATATTTTAATTTAGGAATATGTAAGAAGTGCAGTAATTCATGGTTTAATGCCTCTTAAGTTCGAAAAAATCTATTACACTAGGTACCTACAACCACGGTCTGGTCACTACATGTGTATTATATTTACCTTTCATAATGGACACACCGAGCATTAAATTGGCGTCAACCTTGTCTGCTTGAGCCGCGTGTAAATAATAACGAATCGATAGATCGATCAAATCGAGTATTCTGTTTCGCAGGCGCGTATTCGGTTCGCTGTTGATTTCTTCGCCGTCGACCGTAGAAATAAAAAGCAAAAAAAGGCAAACGGCGCACGGCAGCCGCGACGACATCGTCGTGGCTTAGGGATGGAACCGATGACAATGGAAGGTACGAATGCGATTCTCCGGGAGCGACCTTAGAATATATAAATAAGTACTATGTATGTATGCGCGGTAAAAGTTTGATTGAAAATAATTGTGGTCGTCTCGAGAGCGCCGCGACGACTACGATATATCCGTGACCGGAGGTGGTCTAACCGTTACGAACTTATTTGATTTCATTTTTTTTTTTTTTTCCGATTCGCCGAAGGGACGGAATAAGCTCTCTCGCTCTGAATGACTCTATTTCTTTTTTAATTTAGACGAATACGCGCGGTATCTCCACAAAATGTTTTATTCACAAACTGGGATTTATCTGCCTGCAGTGATAGCACTACATACAGGAACTTCTGGATTGAACTTTCGTCAGATAAAAAAAAAAAAAATTAAAATGTACTTCTGCGCACCTCCACTAGAGATGATTCATTGGTGCGTGTGAAAAAACATGCTAAATCAAAAACATTTCTAGTTAATTATTTTATTATAAGGTAATTATTGTTTTTCAAAGTTTATACAAAATATTTATAATAAAATATTACATAATATTTATGTCCATTTTACAAATAAAAGTTATCTTATATTTTATTTGCGATTGAATTAAAATTTTTAGTTCTGAAAATTTCAAACATTTGATTTTGCATGTTTTTTCCGAGCACTCCCGAATTGATCTATTACTATTAAAATGGTTCACTCGTACAATTAAGTCGTAAATAATTCGAAACACTTGAATATTGATATATTCTATATATTTTTATACCGTTAATCCTAGTTGAGATAAAAAAAAATTAATATTTCATGAATACAGAATTTTATGTAAAATTATAAGGATTTTTAAGAATTAAATATTAAGAAAAATTATAAGTAGTCTGAGAGTAGGTACCTAAATTACTAGTACTAGTAGTAGTAGTTTGGTATGCATAATATCTGACCTATGGTGATACAATGAGGAACATGTACCACACGTTCTTTGAATATCGGTGCGATTATTATTATTATTCAGAATTCCGATATACTTTAAAATGTAAAATATTATGTTAAATGTCAATTTCATGTTAATTAGTCATTAATAAATAATATGGCTACAGAAACAATGGTATTAAATTTTGAAATAACAGAACACCAAGTATAAACTTTAGTTAAAATACGATTTTATTTAAATATATGAGTATTCATACATCCGGGTATTCAGGTAAATGGGTGTTTATGAGTATTTTTATTTCATGGGTTTGAACCAAGTCTTTGGTAAAAACACGGCCCCCGTATGTGGTCTGTTGAACGCTTAATGGCGACCGCAAATTAAAATACAAACATTTACCAAAATCATAATATTTTTAATTAATCATGCGGATTGAATTTTGTTTGATACAATTGTTCCTTCTAATGTGTCATTCGTTAACATATTGTCGATTTCGACGTGTAAGTGATCGATTTGATCGACGACTGACACGAAGACGGGATAAATGATTTCATGTACATTTACTTTATAACCTCTTCGGACCATATTATAAAACACACAACGGTGCAGTTCGACGCTCTAAATATGAAAAATAATACGAACATACTTAATAGATAGATATATTCACTACGAGCAGGTTGCGCAAACGAAACTGAACGTCTTAGTCGTTTCGGGTATTAGGCATGAAAAACATTACTATACACGTTGTAAGATATCCGGGGGATGCCGTGTTAGCCAGACCGATTTCGAGTAATTTCGTTGGTAAAATGATGGAGAACGTCTCATGGGTACCGTTGGCAAAACTAAGAAGATATTATTATCCTAGCGTCCGGCCGAAAACCAATAGCCGTTAGAATCACTTATGTAGGTACGCGCGGTAGCAGGTTCATCGATCATTATTATTCTTTAACATTATCGTGCTATATATTGTTGGTACACGTACGTTAGTGGCAATAGAAAAGTTTTTTTTAGACAAAATAATATAGGTACTTATATATACATATTGATCCATTACTTTTAAACTTTTGTATCATATTGCTTGTCAGAAATGGATTCTCAAAAGTTTGGATTTAATTTTTATTTCTCGATAAATATTATTAATTGTTAGAATTTTAATCAGAAACAGTAACTGTTTCTACACCCACGCACATTGTTTTCAATGATCAATCAGTTAAAGGTCCTGGTGTACACACTAGAGCTTTTAATTGTAATGTAACGCTATAATGTAACAGAATTCGGGTTCGTTTGAATGTTACACGCAGGGCCGTAGCAAGGGAGGAGGGCTAGAGAAGCCTACGCCCTGGGCAAAATTTCTGGGAGAACGCAAAAATGAAAATATTTCAATTTAATTATTATTTATAACATATTACTTATAAGTAAAAGTAATATTATGTATTTATATATTTACTTGTATAATTTATAAATATTATTATGTTGTATCTATGAATCAATATAATTATTATGTATATTTGTATTTTAATAAGTTATTGATTTAAATAAAATTAACAAACGCTTGTATAATTATAAGGAAAATGTATGATTTATATTGCGTTTATAACAAAATATTCAGTTTTTTTTATAAATTAAAATACTTAAGACCGCATTTTGAAGTTTCGCCCCGAACGCAATATTTGATGACTACGGGCCTGGCTTACACGTTACGGTATGTACGTCTAAGGTCGAGCAATACTGTATCTGTTTTTTGCCGGTCTATCCATCAGTTTTTACAAATACGTATCTATCGAATACTCGAGTATATCACCTGGTGATTCGTAGCGAGCAACTGGTTCATCGTCCACATTATAGTGTCAGGCCGTAATGTAATATTCCTTTGTTGTTCGTCAAAATATCGAAAACTCGGGTGGATCGATGGTGTCGCTAGTGGGATAATACAATAATACAATTACCGATATTATTATCGAATATGTGTTAGTTACTCGATGCACCTTTTGTTATAAACTATTCGTATTTATTTTTCTTTTGCTCGTAGACTATGAACTGCATTGTTTGATTAAAATAATTAGGGTACATGTAGTCTTCCCGAGAGGAGCGGAAAATGGGACAAGTGCCTTAGGGCGTTCAAAGAATTACGAATTTAGGGGACGTCATAAAAATTAACGATAATAAGAAAAACTAGGTTTTTTTTTTATATTAGATAGGTAACCATTAATTTTTCTTTTATACTGAAATATCTGAGTGATGAACATTGAATTGGCTCCCAATATCATTTTCAACAAGTTGTTCTCATAATATAAAAATTCTAAAAGTACGCGACTTTAATTAAAATAACTTCAACTATACATTAAAATAATTTAAAACACGAATAGTCCATCAAAATTGCAAGTAAAAATAAAAATAAAATTGCATACATAAAAAAATGTTCACTGATCTGCACTGTTTTAATATTATTTAGTATAGGTTGTATTAATACGTCTATGATTGTGACCATTTAATGCGTTATCGAATTAACGACTAGATAATTTCAAGACTAATAAGCACTGTATCCCTAAAAATATTACAGTCGCGTACTTTTTAATTTTTATATTTTTAATGTATAGTTGAATTTTTTTTTCGAACAATTTTGATAATCAATGGATTTATAAAATAAATATGTAGAGGTAACCAACTTAATGCATAAATCTTGGGAGCCAATTAAATACATAAAAATGACGATTACCTGAGTTAGAGAGCCAATTTAATATATTGGCTCCGATTTGAGAAACTATAAAATTGTACAACATACATCATAAAATATGACATTATGTAAATAATGTAAATAATGTGTAATATGACTATATGTATAAATATTACCGTAAGATAGAATATTATTGATAAATTAATACTATTTTTCAGTCAATATAAATAATATTAGTAATATTAGTTAGATAATATTATCACAATTTTACACAAATATATAATAAATATGTGTATATTATATTATAATCAATTCATTATAAAATTTACGCATTTCTAATAATAAATCCAGTTTGAGTAAATTTGGATAATTCAGTAAACAAACCTTACTCATCACGACAATTTTATACGCACAATACTAACTCAAAAAACGCAGAACGTAATTTGGTTGAAAAGTTTGTAAAACTTAAAGTAAGGAAAAATTCCTTTGTTTAATCTAAGAGAGTTTTATACATAATGTTCAAATGTTGGAATATTATATCTGTGTTATAAAATTATAAAATATTATTATTTGTTATTATTATCTTGCCTTATGAATATAAAAGGTAATTGTAATATTTACCCTGAATGCTTATTATGTATAACTCATAATTATATGTAAATTATGAATACAAATATTTTTATAATTTTTATTTATAGTTTCGTGAAAAAAAGTAATTTTTCTATAGTTTAGCCAAGTAAATGAAATGTCAATTTTTTAAATAACATAAAAAATAAATAAATATAACTCTAATAATAATATTAATAATATAAAATAATGAATAAATAAGTACCTTTTATTAATTATTAAACATATTTAAAGGATGAGGTAAATTATAAGCTAAAAATGTGAAATAAATTTTACAACAAAAAAATTGGTGAGTAGAGGGGGCTTCAAATGCTGTTGCCCCAGGGCGTTATTGGTAGTTAGGAAGGTATTGAGTATAGATAAGTATAGGTAATAGTTTCTACAAAACTTAAAATCTTAGATCCTAAAATTGTATTTAAATTTAATTAAAATAAACAATACAGCAGCTTATAATTTAAATCAATGGGTGATATAGATTGATGAATGTGTCTTGATTATTTGATGTGGAATTAAATAATTTACAAGCAGTTATTATTTATTTTATAGACTACTATTGAATATAAAATGTACTGTAATTAAAAAAAAAAAAAATACAAAAACTTACATTTTAGTGATAATTAGTAATTTTTTTTTTTTTTTTTTTTTTTTTTAAAGTAATTATCCAATTGCACTAATTAAGAAGAGACGCCAAATATATTATTGTAAGCCATAAAACAAATATTAAGTAATGTGAAAAATACGTTAGAATTCTTTAATATTTTATACGTCTAGTTAAAATGTTGACACATGTGAAAAGTCCTTATTCTTTTGTATTATTCTTGAAGAGGATTTAACCAAGTTAACGTCATAATATGATATAATATAATACTCTCAGACTTTTACTGTATTATTTACACGGAATATAAACACACACACACATATATATTTATAATTTTGAAACATTGTTCTGCATTTTTCATTAGTCTTTGCAGTGATGTTTTCGTTTTCTATATTTATTAATATCATACACTGCAATATAGTATCATATTCCTTATTATGTTATAAAATTGAATGTAATTCGATTTCATTCAATTGTAATCTGTGCATTTCTAATCGCGTATTTTATAGGTATACGTATTTTTTTTTTTATATATAGTAAGATTTTATATACTTTTTTAAATAATAAAACTGTTATCTGCTGTTAACAAAGTGTACTATAATACGAGTATTTACATTTTTACCGACAGATGCCACTCAACGTATATTTGTTTAATGGTAATATAATTGATATTTTGCAAGCATGGGAATTAACAAGTTAATAAGTTAAAAGTTAAGTTATTTAACTTATTTCATTGCTGGTAAATTAACTTTACTTATTAACTTGACTTATTTTCATACAGTTTAACTTGAAATAAACGTATTATTTTTTCATTTATCCTAATTAAGTTAATTTTGATTCTCAAGATCAGAAAAAATATTTTTATAAAATACCGCATTCGATAACAAGTTCATGAAATTTAAAAAAATTTAAAAATAAAAATGTCGAAGAATTTTTAGATAAGAATATAATTTTTATCACGGTAATAACCAAGGCTGGACAAGTGAATGATATTTTTTAACTCAGTTAAATTAATTGAGTTCATATCCAATTAAATTAATTCACATGAGAATTACATCATTTAAGTTAAAAATGTAGTTAAAAAATATCGTTAACTTAACTTAACTTCAATTAATACTTAAGTTAAGTTAATTACAAAAAAAAATATATATATATATATATACATAATGCCCTGATATAAGTGATGTATGTATTAACAATTTACAGCAGATATTAATTAACATTAGTGATAATGAAAAAGCAGAAAAATCTTATTTATGAATATTTTTTGTTGCACTAAGTTAATAAGCTAAGTTAAAGTATTATAAATATACCATGTATAAAGTACCAAGTATACCTATGCTTTTTAAAAGAGCAAACATTTTTAAAATGTAATGAATAATTGAAAATGAATTTCTATGGTTTTTTTTAAAATTATATTTAATATATAGAAAATACGTAATTCTAATGGACACAACAAGAACACGAGAAGATTGATATAATTGATGGTGAACTGTAAAAGAAATTATAATAATAGTCTTAGAATATCCATAATTAATGGAACGGAAATATTTGGAACAAGAAAATCGTGCGATGATCCATCATTGTTTTTGAATTTAAATAAATATGAAACACATTGATATTTAATTTTTTTCAACGAAAAGTTATCACAGTGTTGAATCTTTGTAATATTGGCTATTATAAAATGCTATAGAAACCCCACAGTGGAATGTTGATTATTCACAATAAACAATAACGTTAAATTAAATGTACCAATAATAATTTGAACACAAAACTTCAATATAATCACACGGTAAAAATCTTCAACGATTTTCTAGCGAAAAAAAAATTAAATAGTCAACATTTATAGTAGTATAATGTACAACAACAAAGTGCTTATTGGTAATTGGTTCGAAGAACAAAATGTCACTTTTGCATTACAAAAAGATGGCAATAAGAAGTCGGCTTATCAAAAAGATTACCGAAAACATGCTTTACCGGTCAGAGATAATAAGAGTATATGGAAAATAAGAGAAAAAGCACAAGTGATGGCAAATTAATTAACAAACAATATATTAATTATACTGTGATATAATCAAAACGAATTGTAATAGGCGTCTGGGTTTAGTAATATTAAACACTGTCGATTGTTTTACAGGGATTGCCGAGACAATTATTTCAAGACCATGGGATCCACAATGCTTATGATGAAAACATGTGTACCTTGTATGATTTGAACTGCATGTATGCTTACAATCGGCCACTAGCCAGACGTTACAAATCGCATACTGGAACTTGGGAACCCGAACAAAGTTTCATATCAAATCATGGTCCTGGACGAAATGAATTGGTGAAAAAAAAACGGCAGTCTTGGGTCGACGATAATCAAGAAAATGTACAGAAAACTGAATATCAATGTAGATATGCATTGAATTAAATATATGTGTCGCATCCATATTGCGTTATTGTACGTTTCGCAAAATGGAACCGTGATTTCTCCACTTCACGTAATTACACAATATGGATAATATTTCGTGAAATGGATACCTAAACCTTCATCGATGGAACTTGTTCCGTCATTTGGATGTCCATATAGCAAAAATTAAAAAAAAAAAACTTTAATTTCTATATATTATAATATATTACAATTATTTTTAAGAAAATGTTTTACAAATAT